AAGTAAAGTTCAGTAGCGACGCCTTACAATGCACATCTATATCTGTAAATGATATCATTGCTTTCAATCCAACTCTTAAAGTTGCATTTGCTTCAGATTCAAATCCACCGACAAATAAATTTGTTCCATGGAATGAACCATTCACTATGATAACGAAGGCAGTAGAAGCTAGTGGAACAGTTACTATTACAACTGTAACCCAGCAACTATTTCGAACAAAGATGGATTTTAATGAATGTTTCATTCATCCAAAGTCATTCTCTTTAGACCCTAACATTTATACAGAACTTGTAGAACATTATACAAACGAGGCTTTATGTTTTCCTGTTAAAGTTATGGATTGGATTCCTATGGACGGTTCATTCTCAAAAAATACAGATAGTTCAAGTGCAACATTTACAGCAGCTTATACGCCTATTAATGTTAAAAGTATTTGGGCACTATTTAGAAAGAAAGACAACTATTATGTTAATTTTGAGAACCCTAAGTTTAAATATCTTCAGCTTTCCATGGGAGCTTATGGAAATATGCCTGCAGAACCTGAAAAATCATATGGACCTGTATTTTATGAAATGGTTGCGAACGCTTGCAATACAAACAATGATATGATAGGATTTAATGAAGATGTTATGAGGTCATTGGTGGATGATGGTAGTGTGGAACATAAATGGGATAGCTATGACAACACACATTTCTTATGTGGTTTTCCAACAGAAGTGGACTTTTGCTTCCAGCAAGGTCAAACATCTACTGCTCCAATAACATACAAATTGTCTGTTAAAGGACCTATTGAACTAGCAACTGAAAATGTACCAAAGCCACTTATTGGATTTATGAGGGATTGTTGCTTTGCCATTCAGGTGCGTGCTAATGGAATCCCCATAATAAGATTAGATGACTATAACTTAGCTACGGACGACAGTGAGGAATAAAGGATGAACGTTTATTTTTAAAGCTTATAAATGAGTTCTTCATCAAGCTCTCGTGAACCTTCACCATCTATGAAACAAACTTTACCAAACGATTATGGAGCACCTATTGAATATTTCTTACGAGCTGCACAATGGCAAAGAGCAGTTTCACCAAGGTTAGGTGTTCCACCAGCTCCTGTCAAAAATAGCATTTGGTCAAGTCCTTATATAAGATATGGTCTCCCACTAGGTTTGCTAGCTACAGCAGGAGCAGTAATGATGTTGAAAAGAAACAAAGCAAATGTTATAAATAATACTGAAGTAGCTGAATTTGAACAAACTCCGACACCATCGCCAAAACCAACGTCAAAACCAACGCCTTCACAAACAACACCTTCAATGACTCCTGAACCTATGAAAGTACAAACTCCTGTTCAAAAGTCAACTCCAAAACCGACTCCAACATTTAAACCAGAACCTACTCCTCAAATAAATCGTAAAACTCCTGCGTTTCCTTACTGAAAAAATAATGTTAGTTTTATTTTATTTGAACATTTTATTTAGAGTAAAATGACGACTAAAGTCACTGAAGCAATGAAACAAAAATTTTTGGTAGAATACATTAAATCAGGAGCGGTTCCAGAAGGTTTTTACGTTCATACTATGAAGGATGGTAGAGTTCAGTTTAGAAAGATAAAGCAACCATTAGATAGAGAAGGTATATTAAGGAAGATTAAACTTCATGAGGACAACATTGCTGAACTTAAGAAGAAGTTAGAAGAGTTGGAGAAAGGAAGAGAGTTATAAAGTAATGAATTCAACAGACCCAAAGAGTCAGAGCCGCTTTGCGGCTAGGGTGAAAAAAGAGGTGAAAAAAGAGGTGAGATTTCACCACTTCACCTAAATTTATTTTTTCACCTCTGACAACGTTTATTTTTAAGTTTATTTTATTATTTAGCGAGAACGTTTATTTTTATATAAATGACAGAACAAAAATATAACATATCTACTCAACAGGAATGAGACCCTTACTGACTATGTATTCGTTTAATGCTTGATGAAAACAATGGTACATATTATCGTATGGGTATACACAGCGTCTGTTTCCATCGTCGTCGTATATGTAGAGCTCAAATCCAGTCCAACCTTCTTTTGTACAATATGTAGCTTTATTTAAGTATGCATTTATGTAGATAAGGCAATTTTCTTCATCGCTCCAGAAATAATTTTTGTTCTTTGTTGAAATAGTTTTCGTTCCTCTGCGACCATAAGGAATGTATGCAATGAACTTTGCGTCATATGGGATTGTAATATATTCAGGGTTTCTTTCATCGTCAATGGGTCTGTCTTTGTTAAAATGCATGTTTCTCAGTTTTACTTGAGTTTTGAATAGTTCACGGAAACGTTCTGGGAAAGAGTCATAGTAAATGTAGTCGGACATGTCTTTGTAATGAAATAAAAAATTTAAAAAAATAAAAATAAGGTTATTTTTATTTAGTGAGGACGGTAGTGAAGTCGTTAGTGAAGTCGTTAGTGAAGTAGTTAGTGAAATCGTTAGTGAAATCATTTATGTGTCAGATGGTTTTGTAAATATTTAAGGTTAAGTTGGTGTTATGGTTGTGTTGTAAAATATACGTTACCGGTTTCGTAAAGTGTCAAACCGTTAACTTGGGTAAGGTGGAACGCAGTGCCGCCGTACCCAAGTTAGGGATACTAACTTCCAATGTTTCAGGAGTTGGTGGATATTTCGTCTTCTTAAATGGAATCCACTCATCATATACATGAGGATCCCATGCAGTCATAATAAAAATAAAGCTTTTTGAATATATTCAATTTTTAAATGATATTTTCACGGGTTAAATATAAAATAAAGAATAAGATGTAAATTATTAAAATATTTAATTTTAAATTTTGAACCCGTGATAAATATTTTTTTGCATTGTTATTAATAATGAAAAATAAAGCTTATTTCAATGAAAATTGTTCTGCAAATTTATTTCACTTTTGACCTCACTTTTTCCGTAATTCAATTTTTTACTTTTAATATTTCAGATCTTCATAATATCATTTGAAAAATTAACCATATAAAAAAATCAAGTTATCAATTCACTTTTCCCGTAATTCAAAAATCAAAAATATAAATAATATATCTTTTTATCAAATATTATTATTATATTCTATGAAAAATGAGGTCCGGAAATTTTGCGGATTCCCGTAACTCAATTTTACGGAAAAAGTGCAGTAAACTATTCAAAATACGGAAAAAATGGTGTAAACTAATGATTTTATGGTAAAATCACGGAAAGTCCCGGAAGAATATATGTGCCTATATGAAATTATACAAAAATGAATCAAACGCATTTTAAAAGATTGTTCTTGTATTATAAATGCTATTCACAGATTTATTAGTTGAAGAAAATTACCAAATTTTTGCCGATTTACAAAAAATGATTTACAAAGCATATTTTTATAAGGCTTAAAAAATCTTTAAAATGTGACCGGTGACGGAAATCCATGGTAACCAACTGCGGTTCCCGTTTGGAATGCCATACCTCTATCCTTCTGAGTGATGCTCTTGGGTCTTCATCTAGCGCTTGAAGAATTGCTTTGATTTTTCTTTGATCCGGCGATTTTTTGTCAATTTTTATGATGGGCGCCTTTTTGTTCATGAAGTGATACATCCTAACATGATACGTTACAGTGGAATAGCTAGGAGCATCCATACCGAAGCATTTTACCAATGTCTCGTAGATTTTTTTACAGTCTTTGCATTTTTTTGCAAGAGCGAGGATGTTTTCTTTATGATTCATTAAAAAAATGAAAAAAATCCCGCCAAAATTTCCCGCGAAACCGCCTCTTGTCTCAAAATTCATTTTATATCCCGGCATGGCGCCAAAATACAACATACTCATCATATACATATATTCATATTTTTTATTATATATTTATAATCAGCATATATCTCCTTTAATAGTCTCATATAGAGCGCTGTGCTAAACGCACCTTTGGACACCCTATATATTTGAATAATGAACAAAACTATTTGTATCACTCATTTCATCGCTATCTTCACTTTTCAAAGCAATACAACCTTCGTAACCAGACACGAAAGAACTCCCTCCACTTCCTGCACCAGAAATATCAAGTGTTGCGCCACTCCAATATCCATTTCCTCCCATTCCACCCATGTCTGTCGATCCTTCGATTAATGGAGCCACTTCAAACTTCCCATTTGCATGCCTCCAACCATTATCAGTTGATGAAGAACCTCCATTTTTCTGAGTAGCCCCATTTGTAATAACTCCAGAACAGTAATGTACTTCACCTTCTGAATCACATGCTGAATGGCCGGGTTCTCCTTCAAGCCCGCCTCCGTTGCCACCAATGGAACCGGCCCATTCAGCACCTCCTCCACCAGCTGCAACCATAATTCGCGAACGAAGAGATTTAGCATCTGACCAATCAAAAAAATTCTCATTCACATAAAGTCGAACATCGGAAGATCCACGTAGTTTGCATAATTAAAATATGATATTGAACCGATAAATAAGTATAATTTTAAATTTTTATTCAAATTTAAAATCCCGGAGGTATAACCCCCTAATCCTGGTATTGAATTTGGTTTTTGATATTTTCCTGCTGATCCCCATGCTTCTATTCTGTAAATACCTGTTGATAAATCAACTGTGTATGGAGTACAATCTTCAATCGAATCTCCGCATGGATATCCAAATGTAAATTCGCCTAGGCTGCGTGTTACATTGAGTTTTCCAATATTATCTTTTGATAATCTGTAGGAAATCAATTTTTAACTTTTAAATCTCTTAAATACATAGTGAAAAAATCAATGATTATCTCGGAGGGAGATATGTTTTGATGTCCTGTAATGTGAAATACTTTATGAATGGCTAATCTTGAATATTCGATTGGTTGTTTTATTAAAAATATTCAATATAAATTGAATGCATAAGAATTTCAGGTGTGATGCTAAATAGTCCCAGATGCATTATACTTTAGGATTTCGATTATTAATTTAAGGAGAAAAGTAACAGAATAATTCTTCAAAACATGAAAACTAAAGTTCAGTAAATGAGTCAAGGTGTTCAATATGATTCGGATGATAGGCATGTTCTTATCAAATTACCATCCGGAACAAGAACATTCACCGTTCCTTCAAGTGTTCAACGAATTCAAGCAGGCAAAACTGGAAATTCAGCATTTTTACTATGCAAGTCAACAATTCAATCTGTATACTTCGAACAGAACTCACAACTCACAGATTTACAATCTTTTTGTTTCTCAGAAACTTCGGTTGAAACAGTTGACTTCAGTCACTGCAACAATCTCATAATATTTACAGAATCTTTATTTTCAAACTGTTTATCTCTTCAATCCATAATATTTCCTCCAAACTTAGAACAAATCGGAAAAGATTGTTTTTCAAGTTCATCAATTACCTCTCTTGATATTCCAAACAGTGTCACAATCATCAATGATTTTCAAGACTGCAAATCATTAACATCAATTTCAATAACTTCGAACTCAAATCTTCAAACAATTGGAATTATAACTAACATATCAATTTCACAATTTTATATTCCAAAATTTGTCAGATCTATCAAATACTTTCCATATTGTCCAATAACATTGTTTACCGTTCATCAAGAAAATCCTAATTTTGATACAGATGGAACTGCAATATATAGCAAAGATTTCACAATTATGTATTGTATATCATCAAATATAGCTTCCAGTTACACTGTTAGAAATTCTGTTACCAGTATTGAACCATATTGTTTTTCGAAGAGTAATATTGCTACGTTATCATTTCCTCAGCATCCAATAGAAATATCTAGATATGCTATTTGGGGATCCCGCATTACAAATATAATTTTTAACAATGAAATGAATTTGAAAGAGACTCCAATACAGCTTGCAACGTGGAGTAGATTATTAACTAGCGTAACTCTGCCAGATACATTAATAGTAATAGGAATTTCATCATTTGCAAATTGTGCCAGTCTTAGGAATATCAATATTCCGAAATCTCTTGAGAGAATTAATGCGACAGCTTTTTTTGGATGCACAGGATTGCGAGAGATAACTATTCCAATAAAATGTGAACTCACACAAGGATGTTTCAGTTTATGTTCAAAAAGTTTGAATATTGATTTTGAGAACACAACGAAGTATCATTTTGTTGATGGTATTTTATATATGGATGATACGATGATTGATTACATCAAAGATGATATCAACAACAACATCACAATTCCATCATATTGCACAATTATTTCATATTCATTCTTTCGAAACAAAAAAGTCAATTCGATTAAATTTGATCCAAACATTCAAACAATGGTATTTGGAACTCAAGCTTTTACAGGATCAACTTTGAAATCTATTTCATTTCCAAGTTGTCTTTCATCAATAAGTCCATCTGCATTTAGTGGTTGTAAACAACTTTCTGAAGTTATAATTGATGAAACATTTACTGAGATTAGCACCAATTGCTTCATTAATTGTATAAATCTTGAAATTGTTATATTCAACAATAAAAATATATTAATATTTAATAAAGGATGTTTTCAAGGATGCAGTTCATTGAAAACACTGGACATCAGTGATCTCGCATTAAACACTATTAAAAAAGATAGTTTTAAAGAATGTGGAATTGATAGTCTCCATTTTAATAGTTATATAACAACGATCGAGTCAGGATCATTTTCGGGTTCTTCACTTCGTGAAGTCATCCTCGACAACGTTTGTCTGAGCACTATTCAACCATACACATTCTCAGACCTCTCTCATCTTGAAACAGTCCGAATTGTTGGCAACACAGTGACTACGCTCGGTTCATACAGTTTCTCTCACAACCCATCTCTCACAACATTCTACTTGGGTCCTAATGTCAGCACTATCAACGAGTACGCATTCAGCTTCTGCACACATCTTAACAACTTCGTCATCCCAGAAGGATCATCTCTTCACGTTGTCCAAGGCCACTCATTCGAAGGCTGTGATTCACTTATCTCTCTTAATGTCTTAGACAAGACTAGCCTTGTCTTCCGTTACAACGCTCTTATGAGTCTTGACTTGAGTCGTCTTATTGTCTACCTTCCAATATCTAAACTTTTCACATTCGTTGTTCCTAGTCCAGTTGCCTCTATCGAAGACTACGCATTCCAAGGTTGCGAACGTCTTCACGAGATCATCATCTCAGACGGTATCATCCGCAACATCGGCTTCAAAGCATTCGATGGATGCATCAACCTCGAACGTCTTGTCTTCCCAGACACTATTGTTGATATTGGTGATTTTGCATTCAATGGTTGCATCCATCTTGTTTGTGGTTCTATCACCGGTGGTCGTCCAAACAAAGACAGACTTATCACATGTGGTATCAAATCGAGTGCATTTGCGACCACATGTCCAGAATTCTTTGCAAATCTGAACCGCGGTACATGCAAAGTCAACATAAACACATTCACTTTCAAATTCACTCTTCTTTTCCCATTCTTATTTATGTAAAAATTTTAAAATATATACACCAGATCACAAAATGATCATTTTTTATGACAATGATTTTCAGTGGGAATATTTTTTCCCTTTCTTATTTATGTAAAAAATTTAAAATATATCTTTTTTTACATATTTATTTAATGACCATATAATCATGATGATATCTTGGTAGACTTCACAAACTGTGAATATATAACATCAATCAATATGCGTTTGCATGGTGTTCCTATTCACTTACAGACTGTTTCATTAATCTGCTTTTCACTAAAATCGTGTAATATCTTCGGAACTCGAATTTTTTCACAATTGGATATTGCACCCTTTACTCCATGTAAGAACAATTACAAATTTGAACATAAAAAATATTCATGCAAATAATAACAAAAATATTGATAAATAAGTATCTTTAATGATTATTTGAAAAATTTTATTTCGATTGTAAACTTCAGAAATTCACTTTTTAAAAATTTTTATCTTTTCTTCATTTTATGACTGAAGCAAAATATAACGAGTTAATGAATTTGTATCAAGATTTTTATGATACTTGCTGTGCAGTATATAAGCTTCATACATTCAATGAAGTCGAAATCAACAAAATTTATTTTGATATCAGAAATACAATAGTTGAAACCAAAATCATGTCTCCATATCAAACATTAACAATGATTCACTTAGCTCTTACTTATAATGTCAAGTATTTCAAATCATACAAGGCAATTTTCAAAAAAGTTTATGACGAATATCATCCAAATCTCATGCATCGATATTCTATTAAATTTCCATCCATATTGTGGCAGGATCTTTCAGATGAACATGGAATTTTATTATCAGAGAGGTTCAGTTCTGAAATCGAAAAAATGATTCTAAAGATTATTCACTAGACTTCCTTGAAGAAGGTACAATTTATAGATCAATTATTGATGATGACATAACATCTTTTATAACTTTCACCGAAATGCCAGGATTTGATAAGGATCAAACTCTCAATAGCCCTTTATATCCATTTTCAACTAATTCATTACTTGCACTATGTTGTTATCATGGATCAGTCAACTGTTTTAAGTTTTTAATAACAGAATTTGACTCACCTATAACACAAGACTGCCTTCTCTATTCATTTTTGAGTGGCAATCCAGATATTATCCATAAATGCTTGAAAGCAGAGCAACCTAATGAAACTTGCATGGAATATGCAATTATTTCACATAATATTGATTTTGTAACTTTTTTGATGAATGAATATGGTCTTGAAATCAATTTAATGGAATGCATTAAATATCATAATTTTCAAGCCTTCCTAGTTTATTTAGACCAAACAGATGACATTAATCAATGTTTTATTTATTCCGCATGTTTTCATAATCCATGTTTTTGTGAATACTTCCTTTCAAAGGGTGCAGATGTTAATTCAAAAACCGAAGATTGGGGACAGACAGCAATTTTTTATGCAACAGAATATGATAACGAAAAAACTGCCGAATTCTTAATTTCTCATGGTGCAGATATTAATGTAAAAGACTTTTATTCTAATACTGCTCTTCATCGCGCTACAGATTATAATTACAACAATGAAGGAGCAAAATTTCTTATTTTGCATGGTGCAGATGTTAATTCAAAAGATTCTGATGCATACACAGCTCTTCATTTGGCAGCAGAAATTAACAACAATGAAATGGTCGAATTTCTTGTTGAACATGGTGCTGATGTTAATGCAAAAAACAAATACGGCGGAACCGCTCTTCATTTCGGATCAGTACGTAATAACGAAGAAATTGTTGACATTCTTATTTTGCATGGTGCAGACGGTAATGCAAACAAATGTTGTAAGAGAATTGCAGCCACCAAAAGCTGAAATACCGACGTATGTTAAATTTTTTGGAAATGTAATTGATTTTATAGTGGACCCTGCAAATGCATAAGTTCCAAATGTCATTTTTTGAATGTTCGGATCGAATGTAATTGAATTCAATTTTTTGTTTTGAAAGAATGAATATGAAATAATAGTGCAATATGATGGAATGGTGATGTTGTTGTTGATATCATCTTTGATGTAATCAATCATTATATCATCCATATATAAAATACCGTCAACAAAATGATACCTTGTCGTGTTTTCAAAAGCAATATTCAAATTTCTTGAGCATTGACTGAAGCATCCTTGTGCAAGTTGACATTTCTCTGGAATTGTGATGGAAAGTAAACTTGTGCATCTAAAAACGCTGTTTCATTGATTCTTTCAAGAGATTTTGGAATATTTATATTTTTTCAAGAAGTACAATGAGAAAATGAATAATTGCCTATTACAGTCAATGTTTCAGGCAATGTTACGCTAGTCAATTTACTATTCCAAGAGATTGCGTTTAAAGGGATTTCTTTCAAATACATTTCATTGTTAAAAACAAGATTTTTAATACTGCTTGTATAGAAAACTTCACGTGATAATTCTATTGGATGTTGTGGAAAGGAAAGAGTGTTAATGTTACTTCCTGTAAAACAATTTTCTGTAATTTTTCTAACTTTGTTATTTACATTGTAATCAAATGAAATATATGATGATATGCAATACATTACTGAAAAGGTTTTGTTATAGATTGCAGTGCCATCAGTATTCAAATTAGGATTTTCTTGATGAACAGTAAATATAGATATTGGGCATTTTGGGAAATATTTGATCGAAGTTACGCTTTTAGGAATATAAAATTGAGAAATGGCAAGATTTTTTAAAATTCCAATAGATTTCAGATTTGAATTCGAAGTTATTGAAATTGATGTTAATGATTTGCAGTCTTGAAAATCATTGATGATTGTGACACTGTTTGGAATATCAAGAGAGGTAATTGATGAACTTGAAAAACAATCTTTTCCGATTTGTTCTAAGTTTGGAGGAAATATTATGGATTGAAGAGATAAACAGTTTGAAAATAAAGATTCTGTAAATATTATGAGATTGTTGCAGTGACTGAAGTCAACTGTTTCAACCGAAGTTTCTGAGAAACAAAAAGATTGTAAATCTGTGAGTTGTGAGTTCTGTTCGAAGTATACAGATTGAATTGTTGACTTGCATAGTAAAAATGCTGAATTTCCCGTTTTGCCTGCTTGAATTCGTTGAACACTTGAAGGAACAGTGAATGTTCTTGTTCCGGATGGTAATTTGATAAGAACATATCGATCATCCGAATCATATTGAACACCTTGACTCATTTACTGAACTTTAGTTTTCATATTTTGATGATTTTTATTTTTTGAAGTATTGTCACTTTTTGTTGTTTTCATTGAAAATACTTTACTATCCTATACTACTGACACCTCCAATTGAATACATCTTTAATTAAAATTTTTCAAAATTTCAGTAGCATGAAATTTTGGTAGCAAAAGTATCAATTCTATAATTGGGAATCAATAAATACAATTTATGGATAAGAAAAAGCCAATATCATTCTAATTTTATAACACTCGAATATATATTTATTAGATCAAGAACAAAGATTGTATTACAAGTCTCTAGTATTCGCACTTATTGGTGTCTCAATCCAGCTAATTATTTCAACTGGCATCCCTCTAAATTATATGTGTTAGGGGACTTTTAGAGTAAATCTTATTTTATTATGCTGAAAAAAAATCTATTTTCTACTCACTATTGAAAACCTATAAATACCCTAACTATATCAATCTTTTGTAGTATTCAAATGTTTGTTTTATCTAATATCCTAGGTGTTGATTTTACCACCACAGGAATTTGCTTCAGAAAATGTCCCAAAAAAGTTTTGAATTCAGAGTATAATCAATGAACTGATTGTTTCATTCATGTAGATTGAAAGGAAATATGAGATGGTAAGATATTGATGTTTGATAGGCTAAAACTCAATGCATTTATTAAAATATAAAATGTCTTTTAAAACTTTACTGTTATTTCTTATAACGAAGCGTTTTTTTGATCATAAAAATAATTGCCGCAGAAATGAGATAATTCCGCGATTATTATATATATAACTTGATATAGTTTATTTTTTCATAGGTCTTGATTGGACTTTATTATTACGAGTCGATCTGAAATTTTAGAAGATAGAGAAAAAGCATGTAAAAACTAAAACGTTGATATTATGTGCAGGGTTAAAATGTTAAATTCAAGCAATTTGTTGCGAAATATCAATAAAAAAAAAGAAATTTGATCGAAAGAACATGATAATTTAAAAATAAACAAAAAAGGAATAACGCGCATATAAAAACTTAGAATACAACTTGAGAAAAAAGTGGAGAATCAATAGAATCTTCATCAAATGGGCAGTCAGATGAAGAAACGTTAACGTTCTTCTCGGCTCTCTCTTTCTTGTAGAACTTGAGAACAGAAAGATCAATCTGTAGGAGCTGAGATTCGGCCATCTCGCACTTGTATGGCTTGCAGTTTTGGGCAAGGTGCATTATAGCACGGAGAACGATCGGCTTTGTCTGGTTGTTGACTGGTGTAAGGACCAAGTTGTTGCGGGTGCACTTATCAACTGGTAAGGAGTTTAATGGGATGTCACCATAACCGATCATTTCATCTTTGAAAAGATTTTTGCTGAAAAGCTGGATTGTGATTGACTGGTTGTTGCCTGAAGCAGTCTTAAGGTTGTATGACTTTCTGATCGTTGAAGCCATTTTAGATGTAAAGTTGAAAGCCTTAGCTGCACCGTTGGTATTGTTCTTGATGATGATGTACATCTTGTCCTTGGCATCTGCCTTCTTGTCTGCGAAGATGAAACCGCTGAGATGGATGTAGAGAACACTCATGATGGATATTTACTGTAGGAATGATTTGGGTTTTGATAGTATTCAATAGATTGAATTGAGTTCTCAATTTTACATTAGTTCTCAATAAATAACAAGTAAAAATTTGATAACTGAAAATTTTATGATATTGTAGAAAACTTATTTATTGACTCCAAGCATATCGCATAAAACTTAATCCAAAAATGATGACTTTTTGAATAAAACTTTTCTGGATAATATTTTGATTGCCATATATGGTATATGATAAATTTTCATGAAAGGTTTTTGAAAAACCGATTCAAAATTTAAGATGGAATGTAATGGGTTATAAATAGTAAATATATACAACTATCTAATAAAATATTTTGAGAGGAAATTTAAGACACCATGAAAAATCAAACATCTATTCAAATAATCTTTATTTGATGCAGAACGACCCATGAGTAAAAAACGGTTTAATATAAAAATTTGTGAATACATTCAACCTATCAAATCATTCAAAAAAAATTAAGATCAAACTTTTCAACATTTGTGTATATACATATAACAAGATATTAAAGATATTTGATTTCTAAAAAATCTTATCAACCGATTTTCAAAATTTTTCAACCTTGTCAAAATTAATGAAAAAATAGATATCAATTAATTAGCTACTATATTTGTAATAAAGTTGGCACATTGATTTGATGTCAAATGGGCCATTGTTAAAAGTGACAATTTATCCTCTCAACGATGTCAAAAAAATTGATGGTATAATATCAAACTTGTCTGACAGTTTAAAAGCATTTTGTTTTACTTCTTTTTATGATTTTTTTGAAAATACGGGTTTTTGCTCAAAAAAAAGACAGAAGTTCACAATTTGTGAGTGCAATTTAGAAGAAATATATTTGGAATTCGAATATATATGATTAGGATATTCAAATGCAGTAGATGTTAACTCTTTCTAATTTTGTGAAATTTTTTTCCGCAGTTTGATTTGATTTTTCAACATCTTCTGATATTTGTAAAAAAATAGCTTTGATTGTTGTATATAAGTTCTGGTTTGTTTTCTATCACAAACTTTGTTTTCAACATTCAAGATTGATAACTGATTTGAATGGATAAATTAGAAGTTGGTTCTGAAAAAGAATTCTATTGTTCATTAATATTGTTATAAATACGCCCTAGATATCATTATTTTAGTTTTTTCAAATCTTATAGGGTAAATTACTGCAATGCAAATGTCATTAAAGCATAATCTCATGAACATAATATATTGCTTGAATTAATATAAAGTATCTGTATGAAACAGTTGCTTTACGATTGAATCACATAACTATTATATAAATGAATAGTCATGCCCATGTGTTGTAGGTCAGAATGTCTTAAAATGCACTAAGATAGCATAAATGCTCTATGAACATTTGTAAATTTCAAGATTCTGTTCTAAAGAATTGAATTTATGAAGATTTCAGCCTAGATTTATAATTTTATTTGCAGCAGTTTTGATTTACTGGTGTATTAGAAGATAGAGAGGAATTTACCGAAATAATAAGCACATTTTTTTTCTCTCTCTCCTATTCAATTTTTTCATTGAGATTATCTCAATTTTATATGAGGGAAATGAAAATGAGTATGGTTATAAACCAAAAAAGTAGCGAGAATTCAACTTTCACATATGGTTGTTTATACAGATAATAGGATATAATTGCCATTGATGGGCGATTTCTTAGTTGAATGACATAATTTTTAAACATACCACTTCAGATCTTGTAATACATTACTCTAACTTATTTGTGTTCCACCATTTGAAGATATTCCCTTGGAAATTATGATACCACCACAAAACAATTTGATTAACTCTTCCATATTTAAGACTTATATTTACATTGTAGAAACTGAAAGTCTGAAATAACCCCCAAGTGAGGAGACTTTACAAATGAAAAGGAATTTAAATGCTAAGTATACAATCTTAATATGGTTTGTGAAGTAATAAATAATAATTGTTTTAAGTCAAATAAGCAAGTAATTTGGAATATATTCGAGAAAAAATGAAATTTTGGAGAATAAATTGTTAGCACTCAATACTTTTGTACACTACTGTCAGTGATTTTGAATGTGTATTGCGGCTTTAGTGTGCTATATTGAATTTTCATGGACCTAAATTGGCAAAGTCCAGAATAGGGACGTTTCAGTATGCATATAAAATATATATAGTATTTAGAACATTTTTTTGTCGAAATTTATGAAAATCAAATAAATATTTTTTGAGATTCAGCATATAATATCAGAAGTTACATATATTATACATTAACATAAGTATAGGTATGTATTTAACAACTTTACACCTTAAAATTTCGCTTAGGAAGGGAAAAGGAAAAAAATAATAACAAAAACTAGAATTGAACTTGATCTGGATGTTATCGAGCTGAGCTATGATCTATTCAAATATTTCTATAAAAGAGAATTTAAGATCGCTAAACCCCGCCAATTTTCTAATTCATGCAATTCTCCTCAAATGATATGGATAAATTTATTTAATTTAACTACAGGAATATAAATATTAAATAAAAATCGAGGATGTTTTATTGTCGTCTGGAAAAAGTGACAAAATTATTATTGTCGTCTAAAAAGGTGACAAATTATTATTGTCGTCTGGAAAAGTGACAAAATTATCATTGTCGTCTAAAAAATAGATTTTTCAAGCATGTTTCGGTACCTAAATAAAGGAAGAACATCAATTCCATCTATGTATATAGTATGCAAACACGCATGATATATGGAGTAGCTCTTTATCTGGCTAAAAATCCTATTATTTGAAAATTCGCATTGTCGTCTAAAACCGCCAGACGACAATAATAATACCCCATAAAAATCAAGAATGTAATTTTGATTTTTAACCAAGAAAATTACCTTATATTTTTTATTTTGATTTAGCGTTTAAATTATATTTTATTAATATTTATTATAATTTTGGCTTCCCAAAATCACTTTTAGGAAATTTTTCAAAAATCTCACTCAAACTTGAGAAAGGGACAGACTAGCCCATTGTCACTTTTTAATTTAGCAAATGAACGCTTATGGAGTGGAGTTTTTGGGTAAATCTGATTTGCTTATAAATGAAATAAAATTAAAAGAAACCATATTGGCATTATATTATGCAAAAATAAATAATCTTACTTAGTACTTTTAAAGTTAATTTCAGAAAAAATTTGACACAATGGTATCCGGCACATACAAGTGGTGTACAACCAAAATATAAGTTGGTTTAAACATATATTGCTATATCTCATGATCTTACTTAGTACTTTTAAAGTTAATTTCAGAAAAAATTTGACACAATGGTATCCGGCACATACAAGTGGTGTACAACCAAAATATAAGTTGGTTTAAACATATATTGCTATATCTCATGATCTTACTTAGTACTTTTAAAGTTAATTTCAGAAAAAATTTGACACAATGGTATCCGGCACATACAAGTGGTGTACAACCAAAATATAAGTTGGTTTAAACATATATTGCTATATCTCATGATCTTACTTAGTACTTTTAAAGTTAATTTCAGAAAAAATTTGACACAATGGTATCCGGCACATACAAGTGGTGTACAACCAAAATATAAGTTGGTTTAAACATATATTGCTATATCTCATGATCTTACTTAGTACTTTTAAAGTTAATTTCAGAAAAAATTTGACACAATGGTATCCGGCACATACAAGTGGTGTACAACCAAAATTTCATATCCCTAGTTTTACATTTATGTTTAGTTTTATTTCACCTAATTTTCAAAGATCATAATTGAATTAGATGGCCAAGCTATTCAAAATACGACCAAGCTTATCAAAATAAGACCAATATATTCAAAATTCTTTATTCTTTCAAATCATTTCATTTTAATGCAGATCCAAGATCACGAACTCACATATATCGAGTTGCTTAAGTATCGAGTGCAACAAGAAATCCAAGCAGGTTGTAGTTATTCATATAAAACTAGGAAAGAAAGAAATCAAATCCAATTTAATTGTAAGTGGCCGAATTGTCCATGTCGCTTCCTTGTTGATACACTTCCCGATGACAAGTACCACATACGAAAATGTATTAACACCCACAATCATTTTGCCCCTTTTCCAAACAAATCACAACAAATTACATCATATTTTTATAGATCTTATTTAACAAGATATTTTGAATCAAATCAAGACCGTGTTTACGCACAATTAAGGTGTTTCAAAGATCTTAATATCCCATTTGATAGTGGGATCATTCCGGAAATGTTTCAACAATCTACAAATGCTTTAAAAAAGTTTTCTAAACGCCTTCATGCAATCAATACCCGTTTCTCAGCGGATGATGTTACATCTCTTGCAATTTTTGTCGACATGGTTAAGAGTCATTCTCCAGATGATCTCATCGAGTTTATTCACGAGCCAGATCGTATGATTTTCTATTACGCCCCATTCGAAGCAAATGCTTTTTCACATCAAATACAAACTTATCACATTGATTCCACTTATAAGCTCTTGCGCTCTCGCATACCATTTTATGCCGTCACTGGCAAATTCGCGGAATCAATTGTTTTTCCGTTTTTGTATTTTTTCGTTTGGCCCGACACAAGTGAAAATATACAAGTTTGTCTCACAGCATATTTTGGCTCCATCAATCGCGAACCATCTTATTTTTCAATGGACTGCGCACCTCAAATCACAAATGCTGTTGAAACAGCCATCCCCTTATGCCAGATCATTTGGTGTGGCGTTCATGTGTTGCGCGCTGTCATGAGAAAGGCTGAAAAGTTTCAAGATCGTTCCAACTTCGAAACTTTCTATAACTTAATGAAGTTATTGGTCTTTGGTTCTGAAGAGGAAGAAATTGATCCTGATGAAGTTTACAACAATTTAGAAGAAATTTTAAATGAGGAACCTGCTGCCCGTGAATATTTTGACCGACAGTGGCGCCATCATCTTGACAGGTGGATGCTTCGCTATAGAAATGAAGGAGATGGAACAAACAACATCTCGGAATCACATTTCAAGGTT